TTCTACCCCTCAGGGTGGCTATCTGGCCCCACATATAGCCCTGTTATTACGGGGGGGTGACCTTCCCCCTCCCCCGTCCATATTTCTGGGGCTCTACCCGCTCCTGGACCATAATAATGGACGTGTGACACCATTGTGGGCTGGGTGACCCCCCTCCCTCTGGCAACATGGCTACCAATGAGCACCCTGCTGGCTCTACGGCGTCCTGTAGGATTAATGCTGAGGGTGACCCCCTCCTGCTTCCTACACTAATGCCCCTACAGGGGACACTCCACCGGCCATCCTAGACGCTACACCAAGCACCCCTGGTACTCATTGGCTAACGGATAGATTCATCAAGAGGATCAGTCTTTATGACGGAGTCCGGAAAGGACACCGCAAACACCTGACACAGGGTTTGCACTCTATCCGGGAATAACCACTGGATGTCGATGAGACGCGGACACAGATGTTTCCTCGGGACGAATGGCGTGTTACAGCTTGGAAAGCAGAGAAGACTAAATTCCCATTGGGAATGGACCGATATGACTTATAGGTATCGCCTAGTTGGTTTCTACCCTTGAGAACCGCAAAACGGCCCCTGTCCAAGCTGGACATCAAACTGACGGATTTGGCATCCAAGTGCTGGGTCTGCTCTTCGGAGTTACCCTTATGTACAAATTGAGCTGACACGTCTCTATTCATAGGGTTCCCCCTTAACTAGCCCCAGAGGTCTCTCGGACCGTGCCCGGACTCAGGATCAAGGTTGCGTAACCTTGGCCCGTTCCATGAGCGATACGCATGACCAAAAGAGGCGTCCATTCCTACTCATTCCGAAGTTGCCCTGCTGGGCGAAGGGTGCAGTGGAGTGGACTCCCGCCCCAACCCCACGCTACATGCTCCCAGTGCATATGTCACTCATCTCCTCAGAGAGCTGCTCTGCATGGACGATTGGTTCTCTCCCTCAACTGGACATGAGAGAAACCTGCATGGGTTTCGCCATCAACATAGACATATTGAGTCTGACTCACTCCCAGTGAACCCAGTTTTTGGTCTTTCATGGAATATTCGGTCCAACCGGTGCTCCGCCTCTCGAGGACCAAGATGTCAGTTTCAAGGAAAATACCAGTCATATGGTCCGCAACCCGCGGGTCACACTTAGGGGCCCAACCCGGTCGATTGACCGGTTGTTATTCGCCATGGAGGCCATATCTCCAGGATCCGGTACGATCAGCCACTCCAACATGATGCTTTCTCGGGTCTTCGGCCTGGTACGGCTGAATCATGTGACCTTCGGACGAAGCTCATCTAAAACTTAATTGATGACTCCGACATAGGGGGACCTGGCCTACCTAGGAGTTTCGGACCCCAACCAACTTCGGCCTGGAGTCCGGAGGATGGACCTCTTCACGCCAACTGCATGGAACTACCTGCAGGTTTGTTCACCATTTGCAGCTTCCCCAGGGGAAGTAGTATTGCTCGCTACCTTCCGGCATGGACTTTTCACCGGTTGCCCACTACGGACTGTGGTCGGATCTCACGTAGGATCACTATCTATAGCTTCTGGACAAGTATTCGTCATTTGTGACAGTGTCTGCGGAACGAGACACTCATGTGGCAGACGGCTTCACCCGACCATGGAGAGACCCCAATGATTGGTTGCCTCACCATCCAAGGTTTTGAGTACTGGCATGATTACATTCGGTGCTGGACCCTCAGCGAGGCGAGGGACGCGTTTTCAAAGCTTGGTCTCCTTCGGGCATACGCATCCTGTTTACCTAGAGGATACTTTGGGCTTTGCTTCAGACCGAATTCATTTCTCCTAGCCACACCACTTCGGAGGAGTCCTGCGTGCTTCCCCTTTTTGCTAGAGTTTGCCATGGGAAGGCAATTTACGACTCCGTCTCTTAATGTCCCGTGTGGGATCTACAGGGGTAGCCTGCCACGACTGGTGTTTGGGTACCTATGTCAGTCCTTATCATGGCTGTCCCCATTGTAGGATCGTATGGGGCCATTCACGTCCTATGTCCGCTAGTGGACGACTCATGTGCGTTTTCTCAAGTTTCTGGCATTGCTAAGGATCTCTTGGTCTGCAGTCTACCAAGAGGAGTATACCGTACGGGAACCCTATCTCTCGCTATTCTCAATTCTAGTGGTATCGTGTGTTCTGCATTTCCTTGAGGAATGACCTGATGACAAGGACTTGCCTTGCGCCAGTTTTTTCCTCTTACAGTTTTCCCCAGTACATCATCTATTTCATCGCGTTCTGACGTCATGGTAT